TTACCAATAAGTAGAACCCCGTTTTACCCAACTTGAAGCCTGGTCCGGTCCACCGAAGACCGCACTTGGTTTGGCGTTTCACGACGCCAAAATTACTGGCGTTCCCTGAAGAACGCCAACATTTGGCGTTCTGAGAAGAGGAACGACAACCAGTTTACAGTGCTAGTGAGTGCGGGTGCTGTAGACAAACAGCCAGTGTCAAGCGAAGTTCCCCGCTCGCCCCCCGCCTATTTCGGCGGACACTCTCAGTTGGGCCGTGGGACAAGTCGATTTGCGAGAAACTCCGGCTTGAGTCGAAGAGAGGGAGCGAAATACATCATATGGAGGAACAGAGGATTTCGGAAAGGGGAGAGGGATGGCGGGGGTGTACACGTTTCCTTATTCTGGTGTAGACAGTCTTTGGGGACTGTCTAAGAGCGCAAAGCACGGCACGCCCTGCAGTTCCTGTAAGCGTGACACGTATACGTTGTAATTACGATATTTTGAGTTGAATTATCAAGTGGCTCATAGGGCATGGATGCAGGCGCTCTTTATGATGAGTGAAGCAACAGCCCGTATTAGAAGGCAGCTAATTAGGCAGTGCCCCCGCCTTGCCGAGGCGAGGCGGCGTGGCGTGGCGTCGTCGCGACAAGAGAGAATGTCGTTTAGACCAATTATTAAAGACAGCAGGCGCCGGCGGGGCAGGGTCAGGGCCTTGCTCAAGTAGTGCCATACAAGTAGAGAAGAAGAGCGAGAAAATTACGTTTTTCTCTTTGAATAGAAATATTGTATATAATGTGCATGCGGTACAGTATAACTACGAAAGTGCGCGGCTCGAATCAGCCACCTGGTATGTCTCTTACCACCCCACCCGACACTCAGTTGATTTGAGAGATACTGTACCGAATGCACTCGTCGTGTGGGTGGGCGGGTTGTCCACTCTCCCGCACGGCCACCAGGCGCCTTGGTTACTGTTGGTATTCATTCATGCGATGCCGTATAACTACGAAATGGGAAGAGATCTCTATTCATGAGAGAGAGAGGGAGAGAGAGAGAGAGAGAGAGTAAAAAAAATAAATAAAACTGGGTCCGTCCGGGATTTGAACCCGGGACCTCTCGCACCCTAAGCGAGAATCATACCCCTAGACCAACGGACCGTGTTGCTGCAGTGAAGGCGGCAGTACGTGGGCATTCCTCGCACCTGCACGCCGCACCAGTCGTCGTGACCCAGAGAAAGCTTCGGGAGACTGGTTTGGGTCTGGCTTCTCCCACTTCTCTTGTCCCCCCTTCACCCTACTCTCCCATCCCTCACCTTAAACAAGCTGCAATGCTCTCGGAAGTAGGCGACGATCGTGGTGAAATAAGGCTGCCTATGAGACTGACTCTTCGTGTACCCCGTCGTCGAACGACAGGATAGTAGTAGTTATCTGACCAGAGCGCCCATTTAATTTACAACTCATGCGGCGAACAGAAGTTTTCGTAGTTCAGAATGTTACACTTACTGGAGCTTTGTCTTCGGGTAAATGTAAGTCGCGCACTGTTCTCCGACCAGTTCAACAGTGTTAGTCGAGTTACCCCTTTTTTCGCAAGTGGTGACGTGTGTGCATGTGGTAGACACGTTCGACTGTCGCGCGCTGCAGAGCCCTCGGAGCCCCTGCCATGAAGCGGGTAGGCCGCCCACCCAACACCTCTCTCCAACGGCCGGCCTACCTACCGCTCCTTCGGCCGGTGGGGTCAGGATAGAAGCTCTAAGGCTATTTAGCCCCCCTCCCCCCACCCTCTTTCAGTTCCCGAGTCATAGAAAATCGACCCCCCCCCCTTTCTACGAGCTCCCGCAATAACCTCCAGCGACCCGGCCCCAGGACGGAAACCGTGGAAACACTCTGCGTGTGTGTCCATTTCCCCAAAAGACACCTCCCCCGCCCGCCCGTCCTCTAGCCCTCACTCTAGTCTGCTCTTCCCTCCCATTCCCGTTCCCCTTCACTTCCCCCCTCCACCCTCCCCCTTTGCCCTCGCTTAAACGACTCTTCTGCGGTGCACTGTTTTACTTATCTTGCGCAGGTGCCCACACACACACACACACGGACACACTCTCTCTCATTCTCTCCCCCTCACGCTCCCCTCCCCTCTCTCTCTCCCGCCTACACCACTACTATAGGGTCATGGGATGAGTTTTTCCTTTGCCACGCTGTCCCTGGTCGAGGCCTGCATGCCTGGAGTGGGTATTTATAAACCTTCGTTTTAGGTTTGAATCGTGAGGGTGTGTGGAATTCATTTATCATCCAGAATTTCTTTTACTTCGTATATCTGAAAGGGGGAACGATGAATATGATGAATTTATTTGTAAGTACTCTGGAAACTCAGGTGTGATACAGTCTAAGAGTTGTTAAGTGCAATACGAGTGTCAGTGTTTCACACTTCCAACTGCAAGACCATGTCATGTGAAGAGTATGACTACACATGTCTAACGATTTCAAGAGTTTGACCATAAGCGTCTCACGCTACTCGAAACTATGGAGGTGCGCGTGGTCTTGTAGTAGCACGAGTGAGAGATCACTCCATAGAGTGCGGCTCAAATACAGCAGCTACAGCCGCATGAGCCCGTACGGCTCTACGCCACGCCACGCCCAGGAAGTCCTGCAGCAGCCACCGTCGCATCCCCCGCGGGACACCCCCCCCTTCCCTCTCGGCCCGCCACCCACCATACCGCGTTCCTCTGGATGTTTATCGCCTCGCCGCGGAGAGTAAAATACCCCTGGCCGTGAAATATTAAACGAACTGAACCGAGCTGCGACCACTCCCCTGGGCAGTGTTGACCCCCGGCCCCAGGTGGAGGGAAGCGCGCGCCGCTGGGCTGGCGGGGGAAGGGGATGGGGATGAATAAGGCGGTCTATCGGCCGCTGCTATAAGCGCGTGGCCTCTGATCGTATCGTATTTTTACCCGACATTTTACAACACGCTTCTGCACTCTTCATTTGAGAAAACCTCCACCTCGAAACTACGGGGAGGAACAGAAGATTTCGGAAAGGGGGAGAGGGATGGCGGGGGTTTACACGTTTCCTTATTCTGGTGTAGACAGTGGGGACTGTCTAAGAGCGCAAAGCACGGCACGCCCTGCAGTTCCTGTAAGCGTGACACGTATACGTTGTAATTACGATATTTTGAGTTGAATTATCAAGTGGCTCATAGGGCATGGATGCAGGCGCTCTTTATGATGAGTGAAGCAACAGCCCGTATTAGAAGGCAGCTAATTAGGCAGTGCCCCCGCCTTGCCGAGGCGAGGCGGCGTGGCGTGGCGTCGTCGCGACAAGAGAGAATGTCGTTTAGACCAATTATTAAAGACAGCAGGCGCCGGCGGGGCAGGGTCAGGGCCTTGCTCAAGTAGTGCCATACAAGTAGAGAAGAAGAGCGAGAAAATTACGTTTTTCTCTTTGAATAGAAATATTGTATAATAATTAGATTTTCAATAGAGCCATATCGTTTTATCACAAAAAAAATGATTCTGATCAAATAATCCCATTGTGCCGGTAAAGTCAGTTGGCCCTGGTCGAGCAGCTCGGTCTCCTTCCATCCATCCTGCGACCGCAGCTCCCATCCCATTTCAACCCCCACTCCAACTCCGACCCCTACGCCCACCCCTACTCCACCGCCCGCCGCCGTTTGCTTTGCATAACAAACAGGGCTCCGTATATACTTTGGCTTGGCCCACCCCTATTAAAATATATCGGCGTCCACTTTTTCTTTCGTGTGCATATCGACTGTGGGTACCGTTACGGTACCCCTCACCCCCTTTCCCACCTCACTTGTTCTTGTTTCTGTTTCCCTGAACAAAATCTTCACGTGGAGATCATTTTCGTAGAATAGCATGAAAGTCTAGCTTAAAATAATCACTTCCTCATTGTTTCCACGAGTTTCTTTCTCAGCACGATACCCCCTATGGAACACTGCTCACCGCCTCCGCGGCTGGGGACAGCTCTTACCTCCAACCGCTATTTTGTGACAGAATAGCGACTGCTTATCTTGTGGAGGCTTTCATTCGTAGAAGAAGTGTAGAGTGTCGCTGTGCACCTGGATCACCGCAAACGCAAATCCTTGAACGAAGTTTCAACTTCGAAATGAGTGAGATGAGAACATTTTTACTCGTCAAAAATCAAAGCGAGGACTCACCTTATTTGAATCTTATGCACTAATATGCACCGAATCCTCATTCTAAAGGAGTGAGATTTCTCTGATGTTGCCCAATTGCCGAGAGGAATCTCGTTCTTATTGGGTGAGGACCGTAGGTTGACTCAAATTGAATGAGGAAAATAATCTTGCTGTCAGGAGAGCGACATTTTTTGTGTCACTGCTTCGCGCCCTCCTGAGAGCAAAGATATCTGACTCTAGAATTCACAGTGATTGCAGGACAAACAATATAACCGCCCAACGCAAGCCGCGGGCCCTTGAGTCCGTTTACTGCTGTTTGCGTGTAAATGACCCGCCGCCCGAACATGTTACCGTTATCGGCCCGAGACTGAGGCCGCCGACCACCACGACGTCGGTGGTAGCTTGCATCCTGC